AGGTAAGGCTTAGGCTTAGGCTTAGGCTTAGGCTTAGGCTTAGGCTTAGGCTTTTGTGGGCTGGGGCTTCATCCCCCGCTTAATTTCAGCTACCTCTCGCCCTTCGAGACGCGCGTCCTCGAGAATCATCTCCGGTGTTCGCGTCGTCGCGGGGAAGCGCCGAGGCCTGGCTGAACCCGGGGAGCAGCAGCGACTCGTCGTCGCCAGGAGCTGGATACGCGCCCTCGAAGAAGAACCACTGAACTGCTAGCTACCGCTGTTTACTATCGTTTTCTGTACTTGATGGGGTGTCGAATAAATTATTGCGGTCCGGCCCGGAAAAGTCCCGCAAAGAATCATTGCCGTTGATTGCCTCAAAAGGCGCGCATTAAAAGGAGGGACGAAATTTCTTTGCCCACCTTTGTTAAAGCACATGATCTCGAGCTGTTGTTCCGGGTCCCAGACCCGAACCCCGCAGGTGCGGGTGACCGGAATTGAGGCGAATAGCAAGTATATTTTGCGGAATAGCGCCATTTGCTTGGAAATCGATGAAGAAATAAATAGTAAAAAAGGGAAGAAATTGTCGAAATCGGGAAAGTAGCGGTTTTGGGGTTGACCTGGGAGAAAAGGCAAAAATTTGTATTCCGCTGTGTGGAAATTAAATAGCAGCCCTCCTAGGGAAGGCAAGGCGACGAAAGTGCTTTTTTAGGTGAGTCACAATTCATAACAGCTAAACTAGAATTATGCATTGACTGTCCCTTTAAAATAAGTTGGGCTTAGGCTAAGCAAAGGCTTAGCTTAGACTTACTTCATTACTTTAAAGGGCTGCTGACGGCATGTGTCGATCCCCTCCCCCATCAACAAATTGGCAAGTAGCCAACAGGGGAGAGCGCGCCCAGGGAGAGGCGCAGAGACATTTTCTTTTCCGCGCGTAACCGATTGTCTATGCCGTCGGCATCCCTTAAGTTGCCACTGACCCTACCAAATCTTTTTTCAAAGCCATAAATTCATCTTTATTACCGAGGAAAATCTAGTACAAAAGTACAAACTGAATAAAACCGGAAAAGTCAGTGCTTGGGATTCACCGGGCTAGTAAATGCGAATATGGATAAATCGAGGACATCGATATTGCAAACAGGAAAGAACCCAAAAACGGCAAAAGACAATCGAAATAACAAAGATATTTGTACGATGAGATCCACATCCAGCACCCGTCAGTGGTAGCGTAGCGTAGTCGGGGGGAGGGCGGAGGGTCAGAGCTGGTAGATCTGGAAGTGGAGGGCATGCTATCAGTAGATTGTTGAGGAAGAGGTGAGGGCAGGCTAGCATAGAAAAGCCAGGAAAGTCCTACCCGTAGCCTGGTTCTCTGACGTTTTCCGCTCTTTTTTCGTGCTCGTATCGTTGGCGTTCTGCGAGAAATTCGTCACTTCCGTCGCCTCAAAAACTATACAGTAATTTTAGCACAAGCTTGCCTCAATGGGCCTTTATTAAACACGCTCCTCGCTACCCTAACTTTAATTTCTTAACCCTAGCAACCCGACTGCCACTCCCTTCCTGTCGGTGTGGCTCTCGGCGCAGCTGTCGGCGATCGCCGTCTGCTCAAACTCCAGCCGTTTATACCTAAAGATTTTGCCGGTTTCTGCCTTCACTGGTCCTTTAGGGGCCCCTAAAGGACCCATTCAAAGCAGGCCGACTTATTTTGGGTTCCAGCGCGAAGACGACAAATGAGGAGGCCGATCACGCTGAGGACGCACCAAAAGTCAAGGGCAACTGTAAAGGGGTGAATGGAAGGATCTTCGCTAGCCTGCTCGTTTCTTTCCTCACTCTGTTAGCCTGCTCTTTCCTCTTCCTCAATATCTCTGTTAGCCTGCCCTCTCTCCTTCTCATCGCTCTACAAGCCTGCTAGCCTTCTTCCTCAACATGTCAGCTAGCCTGATCTCTTCTCTTCTTCAACCATTTCGCTAAAGAAGCCGCTCTCCTCTTCCTCAACACCTTGCCTGCCCTCTCCTCTTCCCCAATAATCCTGCCAGCCTGCCCGTCAAATTACTGGGAAACTCACGCCAATAATTGTTGGTGAATGGATAATGATAGTAGCCCTTCTCACATTCTCTGCCAACAGGTCCATCCCAAACGATACAGCAAACATTAGGCATTTCTGGAAGTGATGGCTGACTTAGGTTTAGGCTTAGGATTAAGCTTTTGAACACCTACCCAAAAATCACCAAAATCGCCGCTCGACGTCGCCTCGGGCACCGGAACGTCATCTCGACGCCCAGCTCGATACCCAAAAGCTGGAGCTGAACCCCGTCCGATTATCTACCTACCAATGGGGGAAGATCGATGCAAAACGCGCCCAGGCTGATGAAGAGCAAGATCAGGAGCGCCTTCATCCATGGCGAGTTGTCGGATTTGTGGTGGAAGCTAGGACCAGTTGGTTTGAAGCCTAAACCTAAGCCTAAGCCCAAGCTTGAGCTTGAGCCTAAGCCTTAGCCTATTCAAAAGCAGAAAATGCATAGATTACCACGTCCAGGGGCAATTGAGGTGACCACGATGCCGGCGTAGCAGATCCGGATCACCTCCTGAAAATAATCATATGTTTAGGCAGGCTGGCAGAGATTGTTGAGGAAGAGGAGAGGGCAGGCTAGCAGAGATTGTTGAGGAAGAGGAGAGGGCAGACTAGCAGAGATTGTTGAGGAAGAGGAGAGGGCAGGCTAGCAGAGATTGTTGAGTAAGAGGAGAGGGCAGACTTAGCAGCGATTGCTGAGGAAGATGAGGGGGCAGGCTGGCAGAGATTGTTGAGGAAGAGGAGAGGGCAGGCTAGCAGAGATTGTTGAGGAAGAGGAGGGAGCAGGCTAGCAGAGATTGTTGAGGAAGAGGAGAGGGCAGGCTAGCAGAGATTGTTGAGGAAGAGGAGAGGGCTGGCTAGCAGAGATTGTTGAGGAAGAGGGGAGGGCAGGCTAGCAGAGATTGTTGAGGAAGAGGAGAGGGCAGGCTAGCAGAGATTGTTGAGGAAGAGGAGAGGGCAGGCTAGCAGAGATTGTTGAGGAAGAGGGGAGGGCAGGGCTAGCAGAGATTGTTGAGGAAGAGGGGAGGGCAGGCTAGCAGAGATTGTTGAGGAAGAGGAGAGGGCAGGCTAGCAGAGATTGTTGAGGAAGAGGGAGGGCAGGCTAGCAGAGATTGTTGAGGAAGAGGAGAGGGCAGGCTAGCAGAGACTGTTGAGGAAGAGGAGAGGGCAGGCTAGCAGAGATTGTTGAGGAAGAGGAGAGGGCAGGCTAGCAGAGATTGTTGAGGAAGAGGGGAGGGCAGGCTAGCAGAGATTGTTGAGGAAGAGGAGAGGGCAGACTGCAGAGATCACTTGCCTTGAACGCCTTTGTCCTATCCACAATCATCCCAGCGACAATTGAAGACACCCCACCGGCCACTGCCGCCAGAGCTGTCGTGTAGCCGGCCATGTGCTGAAAACATCCCAACTCCTGTCACCGCCCACTTAACCTACCCCATAGTCCAACGAGTCGAGGATCGCGTCGGTGACGATGAACACCGACCAGTTGATGGCAAAGGCGAGGCCGAATGGGACGAGAAGTATCACGTAAGATGGCGTCCTAAAATTGTGCTTGCTAGCTGTCCCATCCTCTTCCTCAACAATCTCTGCTAGCCTGCCCTCTCCTCTTCCTCAACAATCTCTGCTAGCCGGCCCTCTCCTCTTCCTCAACAATCTCTGCTAGCCTGCCCTCTCCTCTTCCTCAACAATCTCTGCTAGCCTGCCCCTCTCCTCTTCCTCAACAATCTCTGCTAGCCTGCCCTCTCCTCTTCCTCAACACGCTCTGCTAGCCTGCCCTCTCCTCTTCCTCAACAATCTCTGCTAGGCTGCCTTCCGCATCCCCAAAAGCTTCAAACCCACTTGAAGATGTTGGCCAGCCCCTGGCGCAATGAAAAGGCGTTGTGGTGCGCTGGAGGGCGAGGGTGGGGTCGGTGGGCATCCTCGCCGGATGCAACTGTAATTTGGAAAATCAGTAATTTTTCTTGCCTTCCTAGCCCCTTGAATTGCCCTGGACTTACCTGACAACATGAACACGATGGTGCCGAGGGCGAGGAAGATACCGTTCTAAGAAGAATGAGGTAGGCTTAAGCTTCTGGCATAGGCTTAGGCTTAGGCTTAGGCTTAAGCTTAGGCTCGCAACTTACCAGCTTCAACATCTCGTACGACTCGGGTGTCGGGTGACTTTCGTCGATCAGAAGCGTGGGCAGCATCGACCCAACGGCCACGCCGAGCGGGTTTGCTGAAAAATGATTTTCCGCAAATGGTCTCTGCTAGCCTGCCTCGATTTGTAAAACCTCACCAATAAAGCTGAGGACATTGGCGAGGGCCCGCTGATTCTCCGGGAACCAATATTCGGCGATTTTCGGGGCAGCACCAAGAAGAACGGCTGCGAGGCGGCGGCAAAGACGGAACCTGGAAAGCGGGCTTTGTTTCCAACGATCTCTACTAGACTGCCGGATGGGTCCGATCGATTACGCTAGGAAAACTGCATCAACCTCAACTTCGTTCCTCGCCCGAACCATCGGGTTTAGCCAATTACGGTACGAAATAATTCCTCATACCCACCCGTATGCAGCACGGCCACCCTCGCCCCCATTTCCATCTGCGGCAACGACGCGAAGAAGCGGATCACCGCCCTGAGTGCGTTGAATGACGCGCCGCAGATCAGCTGAAATGATAGGGTAGCTCGAGTTTAGCCTAAGCCTTGCCAACTGACTTACCGACAACTTGATGCCGTACTTGTCGGTCACGTAGAGCCCCACGACGCCGGTGGCCATGCCGACAAACTGGAAATGGGATGATTAGGGAGAGGGCAGGCTAGCAGAGATTAGGGAAAGTCGCGCTCAAACCTGAAAGATCTGGTTCGAGTAGTAGCCAATTTGCACGAGTCCGGCTCGGACTGCACCCGGCCGCAGAAGAAAGCGTCGGTGGTGGCCGTGATCGAGAGGTAGGAGATCCATTGCTGAAAAAATCACCGTTCCGCAACAATCTCTGCTAGCCTGCCCTCTCCTCTTCCTCAACAATCTCGACTAGTCTACCCGACCTACCGATGCGTTAGAGAGAGCCAGCAGACATGCGCAGAGTAGATGAACCACCTCTCCGGGTAGACGCGGAATCTGTAAAGACACGCATCTTAAACAGAACACCAACCCGACTTTTTTTTTTTTTTTGGCCAAACTGATACCGATCTTGCGCGTCGAGTTGGTCCTGGAGAGCACCTGCAGCTCCTCCTGCGACCAGAGGGTCAGCATCTACAAAAATTCACCCACCGTCATTTTTGTGCCAATTTTTAGGGGGTAACCAAGTGCGGTGGGGATCGGGCTTCATCTACAATTAGCAAAAGCAAACCGGAAATGCTAAAAAACGGGTGTGGGTGGCAAAAATAAACGATTTTATGCTAATTGACGGGGTTTTTCCTTGCATTAACCGCCGCTCGATTTTCAAGAAAAAGACTACGCTGCTCCCTGCCACTTCATCAAAACATTGTCTACGAAACGTCGAAATGAGAAACTGCCCGAAAAATTAAATTGGGCGAGCTAGCAGAGATTCTTTGGGAAAGCAGTAATCCTTCGGGAGTGTCAAGGAATGCTTTGAGGAATTTAGGCGGGTTAGCAGAGGTGCTTGAGGAAATTTAAGGGGCACAAAATTGAGCCTGAGCATGAGAAATTCTTGGAGATTTCTGTCGGGGCTAGGCAGCAGAGATTCTTGCGGAAATTTCGTGCTGTTAGCAGAACCTTTTTGAGAAGCAGGGCAAGCTAGCAAAGTTTCGTAGGGCAACCTAGCAAGCAATTTTTCCTTACTAGGAATGGTCTCCACTCGACATCGAATTTCTTGTTGCAAGTTAGCTCATTTTGTAGATCTCGACGAGACGAATCGATTGATGTAACTTTTAGCTGCGGATACCTTATTTTAACAAAGTTACAACCCTTTAAAGTTTTTAACCTACCTTCATAAGCTCTCCCTGCATCCCCTTCACCGTGGCCTGGAGGCCTAGTGGCATAGTAGTCGGCCTCTGGGGAATCTAACGAGGGTTCGAATCCGCCCACGATTTTTATTTTTGCTTTTGGTCCAAACGTTCTTTGCAGTCTCAGGAACCTAGACAAACTCTTTTTTGATTATTTAACCTCCGTGAAGATTTTAGAACGATAAAAAGAGCATCGGAAAAAACTTTACAATTTTTTTGCCCGAAGGAGTGGTCATGCTCCCCAAAAAAAATTAATAAAATTTGAAATTTTGTATATTTTATTCCCTAGTAAATACTAACGCACCCCGGCGAATACAAGGTATTTGAATGTTGCAAATAACTAATTTGCCAAGGTATGGGCATGATGTGGGTTGTGTCTCCGCACCAGAACTTTCCGATGCTCTTTTTATCGTTCTAAAATCTTCGCGGAGGTTAAATAATCAAAAAAGAGTTTGTCTAGGTCCTGAGAATGCAAAAAGGAACGTTTGGACCAAAAAGCAAAAAATAAAAATCGTGGGCGGATTCGAACCCTCGTTAGATTCCCCAGAGGCCGACTACTATGCCACTAGGCCTCCAGGCCACGGTGAAGGGGATGCAGGAGAGCTTATGAAGGTAGGTTAAAAACTTTAAAGGGTTGTAACTTTGTTAAAATAAGGTATCCGCAGCTAAAAGTTACATCAATCGACGCGTCCCGTCGAGATCTACAAAATGAGCTAACTTGCAACAAGAAATTCGATGTCGAGTGGAGACCATTCCCTAGTTAGGGAAGGAGCTAGCAGAGATTCCTGCAAACATTTTTGAAAAGCAGGGCACGCTAGCAAAGATTCTTTAGGAAGCCAACAAGGCAAAGTGGCACTCATCCCCCTCCTAAACCAACAAAACTACAGTGCAAACAGCCCGAGGGCAAACAGGGGCATTGGGTCGACCCTATCGCCCAAATCGGCCAAGTAGAGCTGTATCTAATCCGTGCATTAATGGGAGGTTCTGGCGATCAACGCGTAGCCAGCTATTTTCTAGGATCGAAGCTCTCGTCCCGCTGGTCGACGCTCCAATTATTCTCCCCCTTTTCCTCGCCTTTTCCGGTCGCCAAAAATTAAGCGATATGTGGGGAGGGGATTTTGGGATAATCTTGATGAATATTCAGCATTCCGTGTCTGAAAAGCTCGGCTATGGGAGGCAAGCAACCGCACGAGGAACTTCTCAGATTTGATAGTTGGGAGAGAGCGAGAGCGAGAGAGAGAGCGAGAAAGATAGAGATAGAGAGAGAATGAGAAAGATAGAGAGAGAGAGAGAGAGAGAGAGAGAGAGAGAGAGAGAGAGAGAGAGAAAGGTAGCGCGAAAGGATCCGGAGGGCCAGCGGAGATTGTTGAGGAAGAGGAGAGGGCAGGCTAGCAGAGATTGTTGAGGAAGAGGAGAGGGCAGACTAGCAGAGATTGTTGAGGAAGAGGAGAGGGCAGGCTAGCAGAGATTGTTGAGGAAGAGGAGAGGGCAGGCTAGCAGAGATTGTTGAGGAAGAGGAGAGGGCAGGCTAGCAGAGATTGTTGAGGAAGAGGAGAGGGCAGGCTAGCAGAGATTGTTGTGGAAGAGGGTAGGGGAGGGCTAGCAGAGATCATTTACCCAGCGCAATGTAATTGTAAAACTCAAGAAAACTGCGCTACAATTCAGAAGAGCAGTGGAAGAGAGAGGTGCCCAAATTTTTCTAGCGTCCGCCTTTCACCTGGCCCATCAACCCGAACACCCGGGCCTCGGCGAAAAATTAGCAATTTGCGCACAATTTTTTTTCGGGATTTTCCGCTAAGTCAGAGAAAACCGCGAGGCGATATGGAGAGCCGTTGATGGGCAAAGAGCACTGGGCAGGCTAGCAGAGATCCTTGAGGAAACTTGGGGGAACTAGCAGAGACTTTGGAGGACAGTGGAACTACCGAATTACCCACGCCCACGAAAGTGCTTTATCAACCACCGCGATTTTTGCCATGTGGGGGAATCCCTGAAAATTGCCCATTCCACGCGACGTGATGAATTTTTGCAGACAAAATTTGTTACCCAGGTGCTCGGGGCAAGAGCGGGTGTGCGCATTTTAAATTTTTTCGACAGCGTAGGGATATGCTGGGGCTTGGGCCTAGGCTTGGGCTTTAGGGAATGGGCTTGGGCTTAGGCTTGTGCTTAGTCTAAATCTAGGCTTAGGCTTGGGCTTAGGCTTGGCTTAGAGTTAGGCTTGGGCTTTTAGGCTTAGGTTTAGGCTTAGGCTTAGGCTTAGGCTTGGCTTAGGGTTAGGCTTAAGCTTTTTAGGCTTGTGGTTTAGGCTAGGCTTAGCTTGGCATAGGCTTAGGCTTGGCTTAGTTTTCGCTACACTGTAAAAATAATTAACCTTCTTCTGCTCCATCCGAACATTTCCTGAAGTCGTCGTTTGCCCGGGAGCAGCTTCACGACTAAAACCAAAAAATTGTGAGCCGGAAGTGATCAAATGAAATATGTTCTGCTTCAAAAGACTGGAAAGGAAGGAAAGAAATCGAGGGCAAGCCGTCAGGCCGGGCGGACCTCCTATTTTGGTCGACCCCGGGTTTCGGACACCCAGTTCTTCAGGTGCACATTTTCAGGAAGCACTGAATCAAGCGATTAATCACTCTATAGAATTTCGGACGAACTTTGGGAAGAGCACGGGCTTAACCTGATTTTTATTGATTTTTAAGGTTGACGCTTAGGCTTAGGTTGTGACATGTTAGCCTTACCCAGGTTAGGCTCAGGATTAGGCTTGGGCCTAGGGTTAGGGATAAGACTAGGCTTGGGCTTAAAAAAGTCGTCCAAAACCAAACATTTTATTGCCTTGAGAAAACCCGAAAAGAGCTAAAACCAGATGTTCAATTTCAGGCGCGGAAATGGGAAAATGATGACTCCATAAAGCGATTTGAGACGGACCGGCACTTCCAAAAAAATTGGGGTGATCCGAGGTTGAGAATGAAATGGAGACCGATGCCGGGCCTTTTATGAAGTGAATTTATAGCAGGAGAGCCGGGAGAGAAAGAGAGAGAGAGGAGAGAGAGAGAGAGAGAGAGAGAGAGAGAAAGAGAGAGAGAGAGAGAGAGAGAGAGAGAGAGAGAGAGAAAACCATAATATAAGCCAAGCCATGACATAATATACATACTTCGACCGGCAATGAGAAGTGGGTCACCTTGCCGGAATTCGTGAAATCTGGTGGCTGGTGATTAAAATGATGATTAAATAATTGGGTTGGAAACAGCATTAATGGATTTCTTTTTCGATTTTGAGGTCCCGTGAATCCTGAGAATGAGCATGACAATTAGAATTTTGATGGATATTTGGTCATGAACGCTGAGAAAACTAACAGTGAATCCGTCAGGAATCTCTACCAGCCATAACAAAACCAAATTAACAAAATATTTGGAACGGCAACTATTTACTCATGCTTTGAAAAGTGCGTTACAATGTCGAAATTTTTCAAATTTGGAGTTTTGTTATTGTTCTTGAATTTTTTTGAATTTCAATCTTTGCTGAGGTTTAGACTTGGCTTAGGATTGGCTTCGACCGGGGCTTAAGCCTTTATTTAGTGTTTTGCAAATGCCGATTTGGACAATCATTTATCCATTACTCTCGCCCTTATCCCGATTTCTAGGCCACCTGGGGCATTGGGACACTGGAATGCAGGGCGTTCCCTGGCTGACACGTGCGTAACCGCTGTCGCATACACATGACGTCTGCAGCGCGGTAGCGCAAGGCTGAAAGACGTGATTAGGATACCAGAATAGGCTTAGGCTTAGGCTTAGGCTTATGGCTAGGCATACGATAGGGCTTAGGCTGCCGCCTAGGCTTAGGCATAAGCTTGGGCTTAGGGCTTAGGCTTAGGCTTAGGCTTAGGGCTTACCAACAACTGCGTCCGGAGCCAAACACTGAGTCGCAGCCAACGTTCTGCTTGTAAGTCGCGTTCGCGTCGCACTGGTTGGCGGCTGAAAATGGGCACATTTTAGCGGTTTTGGGATAGACAACGTACCCTTGGGGCACTGGGCCAATTTGACGCATTTCCCGGCCGGGTTCCGCCCGTATCCGCTGTAGCAAATACGCAGGAGTATTGCGGAGCCGTGGCGCAGGCCTGAAAATTAAATAATCTCTGCTAGCCTGCCTTCCTCAACAATCCCGCTAGCCTACCGTATTATTCGCTCCGGGTTGTCGATTGGCGCAGCTGTCGCAGCCAGTATTCAGCTTGAACTCCTCCTCCATGGCGCAACCCGCAGCGAAGAGTTTTCGGGCTTCAAAGGAAGCAAAATGTAAGTGCTCACGGTATCACGACGTACTCCTCGGGCACTGGCTCACAGGAACGCAGGGACCTGAAGAGGTGGCCTTCGCGTAGCCCGCATCGCAAACGCACGACATCATCGGCTTGGCCATGCAAGGCTGGAAGTTGCGGGGTTGGCTTAGGCCTAGGCTTGACGTAGGCTCACCAAATTCTGGTTCGAGCCTCGCACGAGTCGCAACCGCCATTCATCTTGTACGTCGCGTTGGGCACGCAGGTCTCGTTACTGCTGCTCGTGGCTGTAGTTTGGGCATCTGCCGTAGCGGTGCTTTCTTACTTGTGGCCTGGGGGCATTTGGACACCACGACGCACTTTCCAGCGTCATTTCTACCGTATCCTTTCACGCATACGCACGACGTCTTTGGGGCTGTGGCGCAAGGCTGAAAACTGGGTTCTCAGTCTCTGTTAGCTTGTCCTCTCCTTTCCTCAACAATCTCTGAGCCTGCCCTCTCCTCTTCCTCCTCATCTCTGCTAGCCTGCCCTTCCTCTTCCTCAACAGTCTCTGCTAGCATACCCTTACCCCTCCAAGTGGTTTCCCATCAACGAGGACCTGAGTTTTCGCACGAGTCACATCCCACATTCTTGATATATTCCTCGTTGGCCGGACATTTCCCTAAAAGTTTTAAATAACTTTAGAAACAAACAGTTTTTGGAATGACTTACAATTCCGCAATGTTCTTCGCTTGCCTACCCTTTGAATCACCCTTTGTCTGTGAATTTCCGGGGCACTGTGCCAGGGGGATGCAGAGCTGTGATGAGCTGTCCATGGCGTAGCCCGCATCGCAGACGCAGGCCATAACTGGCATGACCATGCACCGCGGACGGTCGGGGTTGCTCTGCAATGAGCACTGCTAGCCTGCCATTTAAGAATTCCCAAATTTTTTTTTGAGAACGTTTTTTTATGAAATGCTTACTTTGCCATAACTATTTGATTATTACATTATTTTTGGCCGGAAAGTATAACTTTTAGCATATTTTTTGGCGCTCTATCGAATCGGCTTAAAGGAATCTTGAAAATTTTATGGAAATAATCTTCAAAAGCCGGAAAAACAGAAAATAAACACCTTTCGAAGACTTACCAAATCCGGGGCTCGCTCTTCGCACGTGTCGCAGCCCGCCTTCAACCGGTACGTCGCGTGGGCGACGCATGTCGTGTTGGCTGTAATCTCGGTGTCAGTCGGAGCCCTGTTTTATTTTTTGTCATTTCGACAACGCGATTTTCGACAGATTGACTTTCGTTCTGAGCGAAAAATCTTACCGGTAGGTTCGGGGCATTGGACCAGCGGAACACACTTTCCGTCGTCATTCCTGCCGTAACCCCTGCGGCATACACACGATGTTTTCGGGGAGGTGGCGCAAGGCTGCAAGCTGAGTTTCTCCAAAAATCTCTGCTAGCCAGCCCTCTCCACTTCGTCAACAATCTATGCCAGCATTCCCTGACTTACTGCAGGAGGTTTCCCATCGACGTAGGCCCGGTTTTCGCACGAGTCGCAGCCCAAATTCTGAATATATTCCTCGTTGGCGGGGCATTGCACTGAAAACCTATATTTTTAAAGGTTTTCGATTTACAAAAATTCTCTGCTGGCCTGCCCTTTTACTTACTCTGATTCTGCGTACTTCCGGGGCACTGCGCCAGTGGGATGCATGGGCCGTTCGACTTTACTCGGGCGTAGCCCTCCGAGCAGATGCAGGAGAAGCGGGCGCCGTGGCGCAACCCCTAGAAAAATAGGCCTAGGCTTAGGCTTAGGCTTCGGCTTGGCTTAGGCATCAAAGACACTAACCCCAGTCATCTGGCCATTTGCCGGTGCCCGAAAGTCGCATGAGTCGCACCCAATATTGTAGGCGTACACGGCATTGGCAGGGCACTAAAACCCCGGGTTCTTCAATGGGCCTTTAAAGATTGTTACCTTTGAGCTCTGGCCAAGTGCCAGCATGGCAAGGGCGGCCCCTAAAATGGCTTTTATGGAAAACACCGCAAAATTTAGGCGCGCCTAGCGAATTTCCGGTTAGAGGTAGTTTACCCCAACCAACCCCCGCCTACCGTAGTCTGGCCGCCTGTTCATCAACAGGTGTGTAAAATATACCAAAACCTTCGTCTTGATCTGGCGAGTATTTTGGTATACTTTATACACTTGTTGATGAACAGGGAGTCGAGATACGGAAGGTGGGAGTCGGCTGGGAGGCGGGGGGGCAAGCTTACCGAGAAAAATTTCGCGGAGCATCTCGGCGCTGCATAGGTTTTTTTAAGCTTTTGCCGTATTTATGGCCTCAGACTGCCACAAACTAGATTTTGTTCTTTTCCAAATGTTCACATTCCCAGGCGCGGGCCGTATGCAGATGGGCGTCTATCAAAAATCTTTGAGAAAGGATCACACAAAAAAAATCATTGTGGTTGCTTGTTAGGCCTAGGCTTGGGCTTAGGCTTGGGCTTAGGCTTAGCTAGGCTTAGGCTTTGGCTTTGGCTTAGGCTTTGGCTTTGGCTTTGGCTTTGGCTTTGGTCTAGGGTTGCTTAGGCTTGCGCTTAGGCTTCGGCGTTTTTGCTTAGGCAATTCGTTAAGACTTTAGTGAAAACTCCCCACCTAGGAACGCAGAGCGTGGCATCGCGGATTCTTCTTTTTCGGATAGGAAATTTCGGAAAATTTCGCATTGTTTTTGTGCTGTCCCCCATTTATACCCGCGTTTTATGAGGTTGCGCGTGAAAATTTATGTTGCGACCCGGTGGGTTGGTTTTCCCAGCAGTTATGGTCAAAGCTTTGGCGATTCCAGCGCGCGAAGTGCTTTCCGATCTTTGGCCGTATGTCCTGCAGGGCAGACTAGCAGAGGTTGTTGAGGAAGAGGTGATGGAAGGCTAGCAGAGATTGTTGAGGAAGAGGTGATGGCAGGCTAGCAGAGATTGTTGAGGAAGAGGAGAGGGCAGGCTAGCAGAGATTGTTGAGGAAGAGGTGATGGCAGGCTAGCAGAGATTGTTGAGGAAGAGGAGAGGGCAGGCTAGCAGAGATTGTTGAGGAAGAGGAGAGGGCAGGCTAGCAGAGATTGTTGAGGAAGCGGAGAGGGCAGGCTAGCAGAGATTGTTGAGGAAGAGGAGAGGGCAGGCTAGCAGAGATTGTTGAGGAAGTGGAGAGGGCAGGCTAGCAAAGATTGTTGAGGAAGAGGAGAGGGCAGGCTAGCAGAGATTGTTGAGGAAGCGGAGAGGGCAGGCTAGCAGAGATTGTTGAGGAAGAGGAGAGGGCAGGCTAGCAGAGATTGTTGAGGAAGTGGAGAGGGCAGGCTAGCAGAGATTGTTGAGGAAGAGGAGAGGGCAGGCTAGCAGAGATTGTTAAGGAAGAGGAGAGGGCAGGCTAGCAGAGAGCCTTTGAGTCTATGTTTTCGAACATATACACGCTTAAGGTAATAAAATAAAACGATTTATTCGCAGGAAATCGATTATTGCAGGGTCTTCGGCTGAAAAAAAGCTTTTGAAAGCGAGTGCTTAAGGTTTAGTTTTTTCAAAAACAATTTTTCAAAGCTGTTCACTTGCCTTAACTGGGACAGATCCGGAGAGTCCGGAGACTACCGGAGGCGGGTCGCTACCGGCTTGATACAGCGATGGTGGGCATTTGTCGACCGGAACGCACGTTTTGTTGCCGGGGCCCACCGGCGAGCCGAACCCGGGCTGGCAGTGGCAGCTCATTTGAGGAGCGGTAGCGCATACCTGAATTCCGGTTTGCTTAGGATTAGGCTTAGGCTTAGGCTTATACTTCAGCTTAGGCTTAGGCATAGGCTTCCACCTAAGCTCAAGCTCATCTAACCAAGCACCCACCCAGGACGGCTCGTTCTTCTTCTTAAGCGCATCGCACGAGTCACAGCCCGAGTTCAGCTCCCATTTCGAGTTCTCGGGGCAACCCTGAAAAAAGCTTAAAGGCGCCGGCCGGGACAGTGGTTCAAGAAATTCTGAATTTTTGAGAACAAATTACGACATAAAATTCTAGGCTTGCCGTGATCCAAAAAACATCACAAAATTTACCTCCGGCGGCGGTCCAGCGCTTGGCAAAGGCGACCCATCTGGAGGAGCAGCGCTGCCGGGCACCTGAAAAATGGATTCATCTATGATTGCGCTTTAGGGCAGGTATTCCAACGCCGTACCGTAGACGCCGAGGGTGTTCCGTTAACCGGAGCGCCGGAAGGAGCGGGGCTTCCGTCCGCGGGGACCCCGGAGGGTGCAACGCTTCCGGCGGGCGGTGCGGCGCTACTAGCTGGTGGCGCGGCGCTGCTGGCTGGCGGGGCTTCGCTCGCGCCGACCACTCCGCCCGTCACCGCAGTTGCCAGCGTTAGCCCTGAAAGTGGATGACTTAGGCTTAGGGTTAGGTTAGGGTTAGGCTTAGGCTTGGGTGTAGGCTGGGGCTTGGGCTTAGGCTTCGGCTTAGGTTTTAGGCTTAGGATTAGGCATATGGTTAAGCTTGGGCTTAGGCGTAGGCTTAGGTTTAGACTTAGGGTTAGGCTTGGTGTAGGCTTGGGACTAGGAAGAACTTCGAATCCCCTAAAACCATCCCACAAGCTCAAACCCACCTATGATCAACCGTAGTGCAGTAGCCATTTTTCGGGCGCCGTCACAGTATACGACCGGAAATCCCGGCCACACACCCTTATAAGCCGTGCCCCAATTCGAAATTCGACGACGCGTTCCCCCCTCGGAATTTTTCCGGAAAAGCATTTGTATTCAGGGTACCGGGCGGGATGCGCATTTCCCGTTTACGAAACTGTACGGAGAGACGTCTACGAATTATAAGGATTTGAAAGGTACTGGTAAGGCAGGAATATGGCTTGGCTTAGGCTTGGCTTAGGTTGAATCCGCTTAGGCTTAGGCTTAGGTTAGGTTCAGGCTTAGACTTAGACCGAAGCTTACCCTTGGCCCTTGACCGCCCCTTGAAAGTGTCCCAAGACACGGCTTTGGAAAACCGGAAAACCCAACCTCTTCCGCAAACGATCTCTGCTAGCACTCCCATGTCAAAAATGTACAGATACAACGTAAATATAAATGTATATTTATCAAAAAATACAACAGTATACAGTATGCTTAACTTTATCTACATGATGTTCATAACCGTCCCGCGGCTGCGCGCATCTTTTTCTGCGCCTCCTCTTTGCATAGCTCGACGTATTCGTGCTGCGATTTTTCGATCGCGGCGAGGTACAAGTCGTGCTCCTGGAATTGGTAGGCTAGCAGATACCATTTAGGAATCCTAAAGGGAGCACGACAACTAGCAAAGACTGCCTGCCACTTTCTGACCTGCTTAAAAGTGGGTTGCGCCAATTTTCGTATCCGTTCCGCCAGCTGGTCGATGCTCTGATTCGTCTTTTTGCAATCGCCCGTCCTCAAATAGCCCCTCAACGTTCGTATCGGACGCTTCCACTAGCTAAAAAGGTTGAGCAACGTCACGGAAAAAGTAAGTTTTTAAAGCCAAAAAACTACCGAATGTGAAGCCCGGATGATGCCGTCAAACTCGCGGTGCCGATCGTTGCGTTCGAAATGCTCGACGAAGGCATCGATGTGCCTGAAAAAAATTGGTTAGCTTAGGCTGGCGCTTTGCTTAGGCTTAGGCTTGACTTAGGCTTGGGTTAGACTTGACCTTAGGCTTATGCTTATTCTTTATTTTATTTTCCATCAAAAATTACCTTCTGACAACCGGTGTATGGTCGAAGAGCTGCTCGCCGACTAGGACGACATCGCCAACCACGGACGAGGCCGTCATACTATGCCAAAATAGTACTAAAACCTGGAACGCTATATATGCAATTTAACGTTTAGTAAAGCTAGCATCGAAAGAATATAATAGTTTCAACGAATTGTTTACGTTTAAAATGCCGGCTAGCGAATCTTGCAAACCAATTAGCCTAGTTTATATATTAATAACTTTTATGGTGACTAAGTCAATCCGAAAATACATAAAAAATTTAACAAGTAACTGATACAGTTCCCTATCCGTTTTCCAATTCTTGGCCCGCTACAGGGCGCTCCAGTGGGCGGGAAAAGCCGCGGCAATTCGAAGACCGGTTGACTGGTTCCATGTTCATGGTTAAAAATATTTTTATTTAAAATAATTTGTATTTAGCAGGTTTTTATGAAATCATCAACGTTTTTAAATGTAAAACTTAAAAATACTATAGCTATATTTCCGTCAAGATACGACACGACTTTTAGATATTTTTTGTAGCTTTTCCTGACGTTTTGGACAGTTTTTCTCGTTTTTGTCAGTATTATGATCAGCAATCATGCGTAGATTCCTTTATTCCTTATTTTTATCAGGTAAGTAAACGCTTAGGCAACCTCGTAAATGTGAGAAACAATCGATAGCGACGGTGAATTAAAAAGGAGAAAGAAGAATTGTCATTTTCCCGACAAATGAAGTTCGTGGGCTTTGTTGAGCAGAAAAAACAACGTTAAAAATTGTCGAATAAATTAAGAAAACTTTAAATAAATTATTTTTGTTTGCTATTCCTTCTTTGGGCGACGGCGCACGGACGTCTCGGCTTTGTGCGTGGTTTTTTGAGCGGCGGCCGGTGTCTAAAATCAAATTTTTTTATAAACTCCTCCCCCGATATTGCAAAAGCTCCTGTTTAAATGGTATATTGGTTTTAGTGATTTTGTAAACGGGTTGGAAGTGAAACAGCTCAAAGCTGTTTTAAAAATTCGAAAATTTGGTGATTTGGGGGTCGAAAATGTGTTTTAGAATCGAACTATCAATTTTAATGGACCATGATCAACTATTGTAAAGTTTTTGAGCCTAGAAATCGTTGAAAAGAAGGTACAAATACAGTAGCTATTTCTAAAGCTAAAAATCTAAGCCAGCGTGGAAAAAATCGGGTTTTTGCCCGGGGGAATCGTAAAAGCAAAGAAAAAGCCAGGGTAAGCATGCGCTTTCAAACTTGCCCTCGGGCGCAGCGACTTCGTGGTCACGGTCATCGAGACGGCCGACGATTCATCGGAAGACGAAGTAGCCGAAGTTTCAGTATTTCGCGGGGTCATCGGACGCGGGTTCCGCTGCACGAACTACAACAAAGCTGTGGGGTGGTGGCGAAGCGAGGGGTGCAGAAGTGTATTTAAACGCCCAAAAAAACAAGCTAAAAGCTAAAAACTTTAACAAGTTCCCCAAAAACACCTGCTAGCCGGCCCTCACTCACCTTTTTCTCCGGTTCCCCTTCGTCAGCCTTCTTTTGTGCTTTCTCCGCGACCGGACGCTTCCGGAGCACTTTTTGGGGGACCTGACATTGCGTGATTTTGTGGTACAGAAAACTAGAATAATATAAAAACAAAACCTACATCCGGCAGCTCTCCGGACCTGGCGAGCATTTGGTAGAAAATCGTGCCGAACAGGATGCAGCAACCCCTGAAAAATTTGGATGTGGGTAGACTTAGGCTTAGGCTTAGGCTAAGGGTTCGGCTCAGGCTTAGGCTTGGCTTAGGCTTGGGCTTGGGCTTGGCTTAGGCTTAGGCTTAGGTTTGGCTTAGGCTTGGGCTTGGGCTTAGGCTTAAGTTTAGAACTCACCAAACAATCGCAATGTACTCAGCCCTATTTTCGAATTCGGTCCCGCACACTGCATACCATTCCAGCGGCTCGCCACGTTGCTAAATGATGTAAATACGCAGCGTTTCCAGACATATTTTAAAGGGGCTGAGACGCCAAAAATTGCAGCAAAATTCAGCTACAAAAAAAATTCTACCTGTTCCGGGGCTTTCCCGCCATTTGGCAGGCAATGGAAGTCAAAGTACTTCTCGTCGTAGTTTGTGGCGCATAGGTATTTATTTTTGTAGAGGACTTTCTAAAATGTTGTAAATAATTATAGAATTAATGGAATTAATTAAAGCTTGTTGAAGCCAGAAAACTTACCCCGGTTGGCGTCTGGACTTTCTGCTTTTCTTTGCAGGGTCCGATGGCCTGGTGAAGGTCTGAAAAATCGATGCTCATTGGGCTTATGCTTAGGCTTAGGCTTGGCTTAGGCTTTTAATCCTTCACTCACCCGTCCTGGACGATATTCACTGGATCGCACACGACCACCAACACCATGAAGAAGATGTACTCGATGCTGATGGCCAGCGGCACCTCGTCGAACCACCAGCGGTCGCCTGGAATTCCGCATATGGTCTCTGCTAGCTAGCGTTTTGGCCGCTTTCAATAAATGGCCTCTGCTAGCCTACCGGCTCCGATTCCGGTTTTTCCACTGGACGTCGGCGATCCGCACAAATGACGATGAGGGCGTAGGTGCTGAGGAAGAGGATGGTCGTGATTTCGGAGTGAACCTGAAAGGTGGGATAAAGAATCTATGCCAGCCCGCCTAGACTTAGGCGTAGGCTTAGGCCTAAGCCTAGGCCCATCTCTGCCAGACTGACCTTGTAGAAGTCGTGCAGCGTGTGGTATATGGGCACAAACTGCAGCGTGCCCAGCCAGAAGGCGGAAACTCCCGCCAGGAACGAGCACAAGAATTCACGATGGATCCTGAAAATGTTGTAAAGCTGAATCCCAATGTTGGAAGACGACCCTTGCTGGCACCATCCCTTGAAAATTCCAAAACCCACTTTCGCCAGTCGTATTCGACATCCACGATATAGCGCCGGGTCAGGTGCAGCAGCCAGACGAGACTGCAGGCGAATGAGGCGTGGAAGTAGAACGAGTTCCAGGGAACCCAGTAGAATCTGAATAATTACGCAAATGGTCTCTGCTAGCATGCCCTCTCTTCTTCTTCAATAATCTCTGCTAGCCTGCCCTGCCCAGTTTTCCCGCAACCCACCGATCGTAAATGTTCGGATCCGTGTCGTGCCACGTCCACCACAGGTTTTTTATACCCAGAATGTCGTATGGTAGGTCGAGCATCACCGCACCGAGACCCACAGCGGGTCCTTCGGCCCACCACGGGAGATGGAGCCTGAAAAATGTTAATTCTTGGGTTTAGGCTTAGGCTCAGGTCAGGCTTAGGATTGGGCCTAGGCATGGGCTTGGCCTCAGGCTTGGGTTTAGGCACAAAAACTACCGTACTTTTGGACAGCCACGTAGGCGCAGTAGTCGAAGGTGTGGTAGATGCCGAAGAGGATGTAGAGGGGGGCACGAGCACCGAAAAACGTCAAAACGCCCTAAAATTGAGATTATCTCGTCAAAAATCTCTGGTAGACTGCCCTCTATTTTTCCTCACAAATCTCTGCTACTTTTCCCACCTGAGCCTGCCAAAAATTGTCCATATCCGGAATGTTGTAGCACAAGTTTTCGACGTTGAAAGCGTGAATGGTGATGGCAATCCAGACGTAAAGGTAGCGCCGTTCGCGGTTACGGTATGCTAAAGGAAAAGTTAAAGAAAGAGAGAGCGAGAGAGAGAGGGGGAGAGCGAGAGAGACGCACCGTGAATAAACGTGAGCAGACAGCAGCTGACGAACATTATCTCTCCAAGTAAAAACGAGAGATGGTTCTCGATGAGCTGCGAGATTGGCTGGTACTTGCAGAGCCAGTCCATCCACTGAAACGAAGAGAATAAGTCCCGAAAGTTCCTCAACAATCTCTGTTAGCTCGCCTCCTTGCAAAACGCACGCCAATAAAGTTAACAAATTTGATGTTCCACTCCTTTTTCGTAGCATCGTCGAGCTCGAGCGGCACGTACGGCCACACGTACTCGTCCAGCACGAAGGCGTCCATTTTTCCGGGGACGCACGCCCGAGTTTTTACCTGAAAATCGTGATAAATGATTTTTTTGATAAAAAGGAGCATTTTGGAACTGTAAAAACCAATTTTAAAAAATGGGCACAACACTGCTAGAAGGCATAGAAACATGAGAAAAGCGAGAGTTCAGCGCAAGCCACGCAAAAAGTGATAACAGCGCCTTCCGCCCGGTTATCTGTTTTTTTTACTTTCGTATAATTTATATCCCGCCAAAATGCCTTGAAGAGCGCTAGAATCGATGCGTAATGCAGAGCCTATAATCCACTACATTAATGAAAGCTATGAATATCGTTAGGGTCCGAAAATCCCGACTTTTTACCTTAAAATCCAATTTTTAAATATAAATCGATGCAACGTTTCTAAAGCGCTTCTTACTATTCCTAAGCGTCAATATACGCAACTTTTAATCGATACACAGAAAGAAAAAGATTTTTCGACCATCGATTCCGATTTTCGCAAGAAATTCAAATTTTTTAAAGTTTTCTAAACTTGCAAAATCGTTTTGAATTGCAATACGGCTCAAATGCTAAAATAATGTTTAAGAAACGTAAAATTACGTTACTAGTCCAATAAAAAAGTTCCCCAAAAAAGTTCCAATACCGGCGTTCCGCCGTGGCGCGGGGGCCAGCCGGTTGGTATTGGTGTGTGTGGCGCGCCGAGGGGTCAGCCGGCCTGTTTGCCATATCGGACCCGGTGTGTTACCTTTAGGGGTAAGGGGTACCAGAGATACGCGATAGAGAGCGCGAGAGAGGGAGAGAAAGAGAGATCGGCAGGAGTAAGATGAGTAAGCATACCCCGAGGGCCCGGAACGTGCAAGCCGCCCACCATCGATTTTCAATGTTCCTGATCAGGGCGCTTCCCTCTCTAGTCGAGTCGATTTTAGGCGCTTTTAGAGTTTTTCGACGTGACATTCTCTGGTGCTCATTAGATAGAGCTTGCAATTTTGAACAAGTTCCGGTTCTTTTGCAGTATCAGGGGTGGACCAACTTTCCAATGTCAAAATTTGGAGATCGTAGCGTTGCAAATCAGAAAAGTGTAAATGTTTATAATGGGAACACGGCAAGTAAGTGAACGGAGTGATCAATAAAGTTTAAACGTGTAATCGGAAAGATCGAGCAACCCGGAAAGAACAGACAGAACAGGCAAATTTTTAATCAGAGTGAATGCGAGTAAGTTAAGGCCAACCGGGGCCGCACCCGCCAAAACTCGATGCAAATGTTCACTTTGGCTTGACCATGCCGTCCGGGAAGAAGAGACGTTTCAGTTGGTAGCGGATCTGGTCCCCGGCCTTCTCGATGGCTTCTTTGTATGCATCCTAAAATCAAGGAAGTTATAAAGTAACAACCATTCAGGGCTTCTTTGCGATAACCAGCTCACTTTCCCTAACTAAAACGCATTAAAAACGAGACTTTTCCCATCTTTAAAAACCCACAAAGTTCCGATTTTTTAGCTAGCTTCTAAACTGTCTAAGTATCTGGGTCCCCAACGACCAATCGTCGGGTTTGGCTCCCGGCTATCTTCCCACATAAACATTTTGAGCAGAGTTACTCACCGAATTGCCCGAGAAATTATAAGCTCGCTGCTCAGCCGCGCTCAACTGGTCCCAAACGTACTTTCTGGAAAAAAACAGTAGATACTCAAAACTGGAATTACCTCAGTTCGAGCGTCGCCATATACTGATGTCCGACCCAGATCTTCTTGTGCGTCACGGCGATCTGGTTCATCCGGGTGTCCCGGCCGAAGCGTTTGTGCCACTCCTAAAAATGTATAAAATTAATTCGGAGGAATCCGTTCGAACCTTGACACAATGCTTCATCAACGGCTTTGGCTGATAGAGGATTGGCGGGGAAGTCAGCTGCGAGTCGGGCTTCAGCGCCGCCCGCACGGCCTTGTTCTTCTTCAGCAGCTGCAGGATCGACTCCTTGTGTTGAATGTAGCTCTGCTGCTCGCCGGCACTGGCTTCGAAGATTTGTTGTTCGATCGCATCCCGAATTCCGACAGAGCCACCGCAATGTTGGTCGAGCAGCTCGCGAGTGGAGGCGCGTTCGGCCTAGAAAAGTGATAGGATCCACATAATATCCTCGAAAAGTAGTTTTTCAAAATTTCGAATCTCGACAATCAAAATGCATTTTTGGCAATCCCTAATTTTAAAAAAACCTGCATCCAAATAGCCGTAGTAAACGGACCGCAGATCGTTAAAAAATTTTTAAAATTTTTTTTTTGAAAAAATCCGGAAAAAATTTTCACATTAAATTTTTAGAAATGATTACTTCTATGGTCCATTCCTGAACGGGCTCGTCTGGAATGACATCGCCATGAGCATCGATGGGCTCCGGACTGGGCGGCGCCCTGTTTTTGGTCTTAGCGGACGATGGAGCAGGTGTAGTGACGGGAGTGTTCTAAAAAAGCCGATGCTCGCAAAAAAAAACGCAAACATACCGTTTTGCCCCTTTTCTTGGGTGGCGGGCTCACTTGTTCATCACTGTCAGAAATCCAGGCCCGGCGATGTCGCGGGCTTTGCCGAAGCCTCGGGGATGTGCTCAGTTTTCTCGCACGCATTCTCGTCTCCATCATTTGCTTCTCAACCGCGGCCGACGCCTTCGACGTGCATGGCTGGTCGAGAGTAAACGGCCTTCCGGATCGAGTGGCCCTAGCATCGACCGAAGAGCGGCTGGAAACTGGTGAGCCAGGCGACAATTGCACAGAAATCGGGGCACGAAGCCGTTTCAATTCGAACACGCGAGACGAGTGAGTTGCGCCTGAAAAGAAAAGTGATGTGACAGGTTGAAAATGTCGTGAAAATCTTTGCAAATCTGACCAAACAATTGAGGTTACGCTAGATTCTAGCCCGCGCAAAATAGCACCAAAACCGAAAAATCAGTAAATCTCCCTGATCAGAATCACGTTTTGCAAACCGGCATTTTATCTCAATATTTCAAAAGGTATCAATAGCCGGGCTCAAACCTTGTTTCTTGATTTCTTCCCTATGGGCCGCGATGGCAGTGCGAGCCGGCGAAGAATGCACGTCGAGGGTGGCCAACTTCTCGTCGAGCTCGGCTAAATCAGGAAATTGAACGACAATAAATAAGTAACAAACCAGTCAAATTGAATGAAGTATCTCTTGCTTCACCTTCCTCGTTGGCTGCACGTCGAGTAGCATTAGGAGCTACCCGCTAAAACGGTCGTTTCAAACAAGATCGTGTAGCTTACGATGCTTTTGCGACGTCCCCGTCCTCCAGCATCACCCCTGGGTGTTCCCGGCCCACCGGATTCCTCGTCTAAATACCACCATTACATTGTCGAAAAGATAATACCGTTAAAGGTATAGCTCCGAATTGTAAAATCACGGCTTCGCAGGTCAATCTTGCACTTGAATTTTTCCTCTAGCCTAAATGTGGAATTTTTTTCGTTCTGTCGCATTATGGGGGCCCAATTTGGTTTTGCATCTGTCTAGAAATGTTTAGTAACTTAATAGCAAGCATTTTTCTCGTTTTTAAGATGATAAAACTGCATTTCAACCATAAAACTATCAAAAAGTCGACATTTTGGTCAAAAAATTTATTTTTTTATTAATTTGTAAAGTTTTTACTGTTAGGAGAATAGCAGGGTTGTTCATTTTGCGTCCGGTCCGCGTCCGTCCGCGTCCGGGACGGTACGCGTCCCGTCCGTCTCATTAGCATAAAATTTTGCGGACGGACGCGGACGCGTCCCGGACGGACGGGACGGACGCATGGCGGACGGGGACGGGGGAGCGTCCGCGCGTCCGAGATGCAAATTAATTCATGGTAATCTTAAAATGAAAACCAGGAAGTTCGCAATCATTTTGCAGGTTTTGCGGTAAATTCGATTTTATTGGACGGTAGGTTGCCATGTACAAGTAGACATGCTAAAAACCAGACCCTACCAAAGGTTTTACGCCCAAAACTGAAAAACTAGGCGCTTCATTATGATTTGAATCCGGTTTTCTGATTTGCATCGCGGACGCAGTTATTTCCGGCGTCCGCCGTCCGTCCCGTCCGTCCGGGACGCGTCCGCGTCCGTCCGCAAAATTTTATGCTAATGAGACGGACGGGGACGCGCCCGCGTCCCGGACCGTCCGCGTCCGTCCGCGAACAACCCTGGAGAATAGTAAAAAAAAAGTTTTAAAAAATGCCGCTGTTTATGAAAGATTAGACCCTCCGAAAAAAGTTGGTCCCCGGATAATTCGAAAGAACCTTTTCGCTACAATAAAACCCACATCGGCTGAACATCGAAGGGATCGATCGGGAGCGCAAGCTTCTTGTACAACAACAGCATGTCCTCGGCCGACAGGGGGTATGTGTAGAGGTTAGCTACGATCCGTCGATACCTAAAAAAAGAAGTTTTAATCACAACAGATTAACCTTGTCTGCAGCGCCTGCTCGGTCCGGTCGATCTTGTTTTCGCGCGCATACTGCCCCCAAAACTCCAGTCCTTTCAGCTGATTCGGCAGTATGGCATTGGCACGGAGCTTTCTAAATTTCGATATCCAGGCGAAACATGTCGAACTACCTAGCGATCCAAAGAAACTGCCGCACGTCGTCTTGGATGGTTATGGGCACCCGACCCATCTAAAGTTGGACATTATCTGTCAGACAAGGAAATCAAATATATTATCTTTCAAGATGAGTGATGAATTAACAAAAAAAAGCTGTTAGAAGACGTTGAAACTACAAATTACGAAAGTGAATTTTGTCCTAACCTCATTCTTGATGAGTAACCGGACTCTCTGACCTCTATTTATCGATATGACTACCAAAAAAATGGCTGTCCTTCTTTCCTACTTATCCTGCTTTTACGAAAATAACAGGAAGTATTCCCGTTTTTAGACAAAGGCTTTCTGCCAGGAATTTTTTTGCCTCGCGGAAAAAAGATGGACCGTTTTAGAGAGCTTTTGTGTAGAACCCACAATACAGAATTTTTGTATTTTTGTAACTTTTATCTTTTATTCTATCTACTATATATAAATTTCTAATGTCCGTGATCCCGACCGACCGCCCGACCGGGAATTCCGCCAAATTTTGCATTCAAATTCCAAATTCAAATTATGGGGGGAGAGGGCCAGCGCTGAACCCCCGCGTAGCGGGGGGACAGCGCTGGTCGAACCTAAAAATTTATAAGAGAAAAATTTTACATTTGTTTTCCGGCCGGCCAGTTTCCGACTTGGCGCCGACCAAAAAGCGTCGATATTGTCGAGTGTAGTCGCGTCACGCGCGGTATGCGAGCGATCAGTCCAATTCTTTCGACTTTGGCAACCCGTATTTAACGCCCTTCGCGCCCCTTCACGCCCTCCTGTAAATAACGCCCCCTGTATTTCGCGCCCCCTGTATTTAACGCTCTCCTGTAAATAACGCCCTGCAAAACGAGCTTTTTCCTGTCAATAACGCGGCAACCCGTATTTAACGCCCCTTCACGCGCTTTCGCGCCCTCCTGTATTTCGCGCCCCCTAAATAACGCCCTGTATTTAACGCCCTCCAAATGACCACGAAAAGGGCGTTATTTACAGGAAAAAGCTCGTTTTGCAGGGCGTTATTTACAGGAGGGCGTTAAATACAGGGCGCGCGAAATACAGGGGGCGTTATTTACAGGAGGGTGTGAAGGGGCGCGAAAGGGCGCTAAATACGGGTTGCCCAATAGCGCCCTTTTCGTGGTCATTTGGAGGGCGTTAAATACAGAAGGGCGTTAAATACAGGGGGCGTTATTTACAGGGGGCGCGAAATACAGGAGGGCGCGAAAGGGCGTGAAGCAGCGTTAAATACGGGTTGCCTTCGACTTTACTACGAAAATTAATTTTTACTTTTCTATAAAATATAGCAATTAATTATATAAAATAATTTGTGAGAATTTTGGTACTCTGAGCGTTCAAGTATTCAAGCAAATTTGTAAAGTTCTAATGCCAAAGTTTCAGTTTATTTTCGACCGATAAAGTTGAGTTGCCGTTAGTTTCATTTTCCATTTCAGGGAAATGGGTGACAACAACGTCAACTTGACGCTCGACGAGATCATCAAGGGCCAGAAGGCCCGAGGCCAGAAAAACGCTCGCCAGGCGCGCACCCAGCAGACGCCGAGGCGCAAGTTTGGCGTGGGTGTTAGGAAGGTAAGCTTTATTTAGTTTTCCAATCTCCATTTTCTTAGGGAGCTAACACCCGATCCGCAAGATCGGCGCCAACCGCGGACGAATCATGAAGCGTAATTTTAACAACAGCCCGCGGTAACTTGCCTCTGTTTTTCGCCAAAGTTCTCGTTGGTTTAGTCAGGCGGTCCGCGCTGGCAACCAGAAGATCTCGCCCAGCACGCAGAAACTCGTCGAGGAATTGGCTCTGGTAACGCTTCAATTACGGGTGTCCATTTTTCAGAAAACGGTGAAGAAGGTTCTGTCGAGCGGCACGAACCCGCGCAATCAATTGACCAAGGTGAGACCGAGCGGATGTGACGACGTATTGAGCTGTCGTGATGATTCCCTGTTTTGATGGGCCATGTTCTTTTGAGCGTCTTTTTCACCTAATGGCTGCGTTCCGGCTCGGCATATTTCTAACTTTAGAAGATCCTCGCAAGGTCTGCACCGGCCCGAGCATTGCCTCCGGTTCGTTCATTTCCGGTTACGGGATTTGGAAAGAACCACATTGCTATTTATTTCCTCGGTTTAGGGCCGCAACCGCTTGGCCACGCTGATCGCTCGCCACCGTCTCGCCACCGCCCCTCGCAAGGCCGTTCAAGTGGTCGAAGAGGTGCTGGACGACGACTATGAGGATATGCCATCCACTTCCGCAACGTCGTCGTCAAGCGCATTGTAAGGCCTCTTTCCCTGAAAATCGCAAAATTAGGTGCGCCCGACTCAGGGAGGCCGGAAGCAAGTGATCATCAAGAGGATCGCCCAGAAGGTTTGTTTCCGAAGTTGGGAAAATTTTTCAATCTAGAAGGCGCCGATCCAGAACCGTGTCGTGATTCGCCGTGCCCCACAACAGCAGCGAAGCCGCATCCAATTCAACAATGTGAATGCGCGTCAGGTCAGTGTTCGCTCTCGCTTTTGGAAAAAAACTCCCTTTTTTTCAGCTTGTCCGTCAAGCCATGCGCGAGAACAACCGGCCCGTCCAGAAGCGTCAGCAACCACAACAGAAGCAGCAGGCGCCCGGTGGCCGTGCCATGAATGTGAAGAATAACAAGATGTTCTCGGCTCTGTTCGGCGGCGGCTCGCAGAATAATGTAAGCGATTGTTGCTTGAAGATTTTGATTCTTCGTTTATTACCATCCTCATATTTAAATTCTAGGCCGAGCGCCTCAACGCCAACGACAGCTTCCTGGACCGTCTCGGCGCCCCGTTCAGCGCAAGGGCCGCGGCTTTAACGCGAAGTATAAGAATGAATACTGATTGACCTCGGATCTCGCTGTCGCCCCCTGAAAATATCTCGTTTCGTGTCTCGCCCAAATCTATTTGTTACCTTTGACGTTTCATGTAAATAAATTATTTTGAGTTGGACGACGGAGAGTTGAAACTCGGATCTTACAAGTAAACGTAATCGCAGCGAATATCGTGATTTACATGCAAATACTAACGTTACAATGCAATGTGGGATGTCGCGCGGAAATAATCTGAAAAGCGTTTCCTTTGCTCTAGTGATTTTGAGATTTCAGAATGTGCTCGGTTGGCGAGACGCAGCCAAATAGTGTAAGATTTAACTATAAGGCGAGCACATCAGTTTTGCTATAGAATCTGGATGAACACGAAGACGGAGAATTGGTGGATGAAGCTGTCGTAGAGACGACGTTTCGCTGCGGAGCGCCGCAGGTAGATGGAGCAGCAGCCGTGCAGCGCGAGGTTCCAACTTCGAAAATTGCGAAATTATTCTTTGTTTTTAGTTAACCTTGGAATCTACTGCGTCCAGTCAGAACCCTGTTATCCTTGTTGATCGCAAGGTGGGCCTAGCGTTGTTTTTCTTTGTAAAGATTCATTATATTGTTTGTAGCACCCTTCAAAGATTTAGTTAGTTAGAAAATTCCGGAAGTGTTTTATTGATCTTCTGTTGGGTTTTATAGAGTTTGGTTGAATACGACTACGAAGACGGGGAATTGCTGGATGATGCTGTCGTAGCGACAACATTCAATGACAAAGGACGAGGCGAAGTGAAGAAGGAGGGGTCGGTCCAGGCTGATGTTGCCGAGAACGAGCGCCAGGTTATTTAGCAAACAGCGCATCAATTTTCTTATAGAATTTGGATGGACATGAAGAAGGCGAGTTGGTGGATGACGTTTTCGTAGCTACCACTTTCAACGACAAAGAAGGAGGAGAAGTGCCGCTCCAGGCTGAAACTGACAGCAGGAGCACGAGGTTCTTTCGGAAAAAGGCACATCAATTTTCTTATAGAATCTGGATGAGCACGAAGACGGGGAATTGGTAGATGACGCTGTCGTAGCAACCACTTTCAGCGACAAAGAAGGAGGTGAACTGCCGGTCCAGGCTGAAGCTGCAGAGAAGGATCACGAGGTTCTTTAAGAAAAAAGCACATAAATTTTCTTATAGGATTTGGACGGACACGAAGACGGTGAACTGGTGGATGACGTTGTCGTAGCGACGACTTTTGACGGAAAAGGAGACGGAGAATTGATGGATGCTGCTGTCGTAGCGACAACTTTCAACGACAAAGAAGGAGGCGAAGTGCCGGTCCAGGCTGAAGCTGCAGAGAAGGAGCACGAGGTTCTTTAAGGGAAAAGCTCATCAATTTTCTTACAGAATTCGGATGGACACGAAGACGGAGAACTGATGGATGATGTTCTCGTAGCGACGACTTTTAACGGCGAAGAAGACGGGGAATTGATGGATGATGTTGTCGTCGCCACGACTTTGGATGCCAAAGAAGATGGTGATGAACCGGATGAGGATGAAGCAGAAGAAGAGGAGGAGCATGAGGTTCTAACTTTAAAAATCCGGTGAACCCTTTTTCAGCTAGCCTTGGAATCCATGGTGTCCTGCCAGAACCCGACTATCGTCGTTGATCCGAAGCTCTGCCAGCAATGCCAAACGGTTTGTAGCAAATCTTATCGATTTTTTTTTCTAGAATGAATTCAAGTACAAGTGCCCGAAGTGCACGTTCAAGTCATGCTCGCTGGATTGCTCCAAGCTGCACAAGGCTGAGAAGGAGGTAAACTAGCTTTAGATCATCATCGGCTTTTTTTTGTAGTGTGATGGTGTACGCAAGGCGTTTCCGGTGGTTAATCGTCTCGGTGATTACGATGACAGGACGTCTATCGACGATCAGGTGAGAAAATGTTTGTCCTTTTAGGATCTTTTAGAATTTCCATCACCACATCAGAGAGTCCTTGGGAAGCACGCCGAAGGGATTTTTGAACAGAGAAGAGGTAGTTTAGAGTAGAGAACTGAAATAGGAAACGTTTTTAGGCTCCTAACCATCATACTCCAAGCATCCCGTTCCCACAAGTACCTGGATGGCCGTCGGATTACCCCTAGCAGTGGACAGGAGAAGTGAGACTTTTTTAGGTTTTCAAGCGAGAAGCCTTGATTCAGATACTTGCTCGACAACACTTGCCATCGGCGAATCTGGCTCAGCTTCCGCGACGAGGATCGAGGCGTCGAAAATTCGCGGCACGAGCAATTTTCGGACACGATTTTCTGACGGTTGATTTGATTTTCCGGAAAATGGTTTGTAGATTTTTTCCTCACAAATAAGATAGTTTTTAGCTGCAAAACGGCGAAATCTCCGAATACAAGTATCGCATTCACCAAGTTCCCGAAACAATCCGGGTGGTCACGGTAGTGTTTAAATGCAGAATCAAACCCTTTTTCCTGTTCAGGTTTTGAGGCAATTCTTGAAGCCCCGCCCTTCGGACCGCTCGTCTCAAAGAACGATTTGGACCTCGAGAAGGTATTTGATCATTTCTCCAAAAACAGAATTTCGAAAAATTTGCTTGTCTAAACCGCACCCGGGTCGCCCATTTCATATTAATAGCCAAAATTTTCTGAAAGTATGTTTTTTGGGGAAAATGTTTTTCGAAAAATTTGTAGCAAAATCGTTTAGCTTGCCCCGTTCATCAACGCCGGAGTTGATCATGTCAACGTTTTCATGCCCGTGCCTGTGGTGGGATACGAAAACAAGTAATATTTTCCGAAATGTGTGATTTTCTTTTTAGGTATAACCCCGTAGAATCAGACGCGCCTGTACTGGAAAACACCCGCAACCGCTTCATCATCAATCATCCAGTGGTAGGTTGCCGCCAAACTCCCTTAAGTTTTTTTTGTTTTAGTGGGTGATCGTGCTCGATGACGAGTTCGTCGACCTCGAGCTGCCCACACCCGAGGATCTCGAGCGACTACAGTATGTGATCGCTTCGATACATTTTATGGAGTGTTTTTAGAGCCCGTAGCCAAATGGAGCGCACCGCCTACCAACCAGCACACCGTGGCCGTGGCGGCGGAATGAGAGGCCGAGGAAGAGGCCGTGGCGGACCGTCGGTACGTATAGAAAGTTTAAGAGCCGGTGCTGGACTGTTAGCGGGGGGTTGTTCCCAGTAGTTTTTGATTACTAGAAAGGTATAAAAAATATTTTTTTTTAATTTTGAAAGTTTGAAACTGACCTTTTTGGTCATTTTCATACATTTTATCGTTTTTCTATCTAAAACCCCCATATCCCCTCCCCGCTAACAGTACAGAGCCAAAAGTAGTTGTGATATTTTAGAATTTAAACACAACTAATTCCTTTTTTTCAGAATTATCGTGGCGGCGGCTATGGTCATCAATCAAGCCCGACAAAGTACGACCCAGCACAACCCTTCGTGCCTCGCCCAAGTGGAGATGTGGAACGCGAAAAGAGACATAGCGATGGCTGGCAGCGTAATGGGATTGGGTTTTATACATAAGGTCGCCTTTTTTAGGCAACTTCCCGGCGAAGCGCTGTCGCAACGAACAAACGTATGACCGCTACGACCGAGGTGACCGGCGCGGTGGACGTCCAAATCGCGGCCGTGATCGTTTTATTCGGAAGTGGGTTTTTTCGGTTTTTCTTACTATTACTAATTTACTAATTTTTCTAAATATGGCCACCAACTTTTTAAATATTTTAAACGTTAAAGAATACCTTTTGAGAAAAATTACCAAAAAAATATACATTAATCGACCAAAAATGGCCGATTTTTTACCACAGTTTCGAAATTTTAAAGTTTTTAAATAGGTATTCCAGTGTAGTTAGTGTAGTTAACCTTTTCAAAAAAAACTATTGAAATACCTATTACTACGTTATTAAGTATTTCTGGGCTTATACCACAAATCCGTCCCCCGATAAGGCGAAAGAACAAAATTGTTACAGTCGTGAGGATCGAGCTCCATCGTTCGACCCGTTCAACCCGTTCGATGGACCGTGTGCCCTGCCACTCGATAGTTAAGAAAAAATACTCTTTTCCCTTGTTATCATTTCTTGTTATGCTGCTACGCCAGCACGTTGTTGATTTTGCCCCCCCCCCTCCTCTTCATTTCCGCGTTGTTACTTTGTTCATTGTTACACTCAAATTTATTGCACATTTTTATGTCATCGCCCATATTTCGGGCTCATTACATATAAAGAAAGAGGAAAAGTGGTTCGGAGGACTTTGGAATTGTATTTTAATGTGGACAGGAATGATGGGATAGCGAAGAAGCACCGCAAGAACACTCGTAACGAAAAAAGTGACTAGTACTAGTGGTGGACCAGGTCCAATACATCGGTTTGAACACATGAGGCAAAGCCGCGCCTTCAGCCGGCCTCCACACTCTTCGACCGGAACTCCTGGGACGCCGAATAGCCTCGCTGCTCGACGATATTGGCCGAGATTCGAGGATTGTGATGTCGGAAGCTGCTGGCCACGCTCGGGCTCAATTTTTGAACTCGCGTCGGCTTCTGTGGGAGACTGGAAATGAGCATGAAGTCTGATCCAAGAGGGAATAAGCTTCCATCGTAGCTTCACCCTACCCGAGCTCGACAAAATGTGGCCCAAGCTTGGCGAGATTTCTTGGGTGGGCCGGATGGGGACCGGGTTGACGCAAGTACACTGGAAATTATGAGCTTATTTTGGTCCGAGTTAGGCATATTTTCAAGTCTGGATTTTAGAAGGTGTGCGAGAGAGAGTGCAAGAGATAGTGAACGAGTGAGATAGAGAGAGAGATAGAGAGAGAGAAAACGTGTGAGAGATCATAGCAAAAAATAGCCTACCTCCTGATTATTTTTGGCGTATGATGGTGGCTTATCGTAGAGGGGACTAAAAATCAGGGTTAAAAGCCCAAAAATCGAATTCCCAACCTCTCAAACGTCTGCCGCGTTTGGCGCTGATCTTTCGGCTTGTAGACCGTGTACGACTTGTTGACCATGGTGTGGTTGGGGAACTGAATGTTGGTGATAAGATTTTTACTTTTCAGGTTCTTCTTTAGATTTTGTAGATTTAACTCACGTTTTTCAGGTACTGCGGGTCCCAAATGTAGACGTAGTAGATGGACAGACAGACGGCCGGCAGCGAGACGAACACGATATAGCCGAGCACCGTGATGAACCGGATCCATCTGCAAAGGTTTTCAGGTTGGAAAAGTTTGAAAATTGTTAGAAGCAAAATTTATTTAGATATAAAAAGCTTATTAAAATTTCGTGAAAGCAAAAACCTCAATTTTTACAACTTTTAGCGAGGCCAGGAATAAAGCAAGTTAGCCCCTGCTAATGAAACAGAACAGGATATTTGGGCTTTAAAAAGTGCAAAACATTACCTCTACTAGCATACCCTCTCCTCTTCCTCAACAATCTCTGCTAGCCTGCTATGCTCAAACTATAGTTTCTAGACGTACCCATCAATTTGGTTGTTCAGCATCTCGAAAAATAGGGCGCCAGTTGTTGATCAGTATCAAGCGATCGATTAGAAATGCAGGGTGTCGCCGAGAATTTGATGGCCTGTTTTTTGGGGCGGTGAGACTCGGGCGGGAGGGCCCAGTTTCCGGCGGCCGGGTCACAAGGATTTGGGAGGAGGACCCAGGATTTGGACGAGCCGTGAGGAGGAGCAGGGGGACGACCAAGGGAAAAGCTCCTTCCAGAGATTGGGCCCCGCTGGCCGAACCGTGGTGCCCACTAACGAAATTCGAGCTTCACCCCTTTCTACCGAATCTAGAAGCCAGCCCCGGACGAGCGTTATATTTTAGAGGGGAAGCTGGTGGTAATACAGTTTTTTCAAAAGAATGCTTTTCGGTACTTTCCTATTTAAACGGGGGGGATATTTCCTAGAATTCGTTTTTCGACTTTGTTTTTAAAACGATTAAATTTTCTCTAGAACAAATGACCAATTTTTGTTCAAATAGTAAATAAAATCTTAAGCAGTTTTTAACGAATTCTAAATAGTTATATCTGTTGAAATATATCTCATTTTGCTAAGGAATTATTTTCAAGGGCTCGAATTTTGCTAATAAAAACAGAGGAATTTATTCTTTTACTATTTTAAACGTAGAATCTTTACAAAAATATATTTAAATACAAAAATATCATTTATCGATTGCTTTATAACGCTTACTTCTTGCTCTCGCGCTGCGTGAATTTGGCCCGTTTGTCGGAGGTGTAGACGGGCTGCCGGCTTCGTGAGCGGTTTCTGCCTAAATTACGGGATTACAGAAATACAAATTATTTCACGAATTTTCCGCACTTGTGAGAAGAGAGAGAGAGAGCGAGAGAGAGAGCGAGAGACGGGGAGAGAGAGTGAGTGATATCACTTACCTGAATAGTGAGAGTGCATCGAGCCGACGCCCGACGAGTGGTTCATCTGAAAATGTTCGGAATTCAATTTTTCTCGATTGATTATTTCATAAAATCAAAACTAAAATAAGTGATGGAAAATGGCAAAAAAAACACATTATAAGTTTCCAATGTCTTCAGCAAAGCAAGATCGTAAGCTAGCCCCTTTAAAGAAGTAAAAAAGAATTTGTAGTTTTCCCACGGTTCAGAAAAACATAAAAAGTTACTAAAAATCAAAAAGCTAAAGCTATAAACTAAAAATCGTTGTAAAATAGAAAAATCTAGAAACGAAAAGATAGGCCAGTTATAGAATTTCAATTGCTTGAAAAATGCGCCAACTTTAGCTTCATTTTCTGGGCGTAATAACCGTCACTAAAGCAGATGAGTCCCGAAATGGAGAAGCGCATTGAGGTGCTAAGCGATGGGTGCCCTCTGAGGGGCATCTTTACACGTGCTCACACCCTCCCCCACTTCACCGGGCCCTATTGATCTTGGTGAGCTTCGTTCTTTCTCATGCTCCCGCCCCAGCTTGCTCTCTTTCTCTCGCTCTACACACGCTCTCTCTCTCTCTCTCTCGCATCTCGCTCCCGCTTTTGCTTTTATGAGATGAGCGGGAGATGGGCCCGTCTTGGACCCCGCAAAGTGGCCCTGAATCGCAAATCGGTTCAGCCTGGAAAGAAAAAGTGAAGAACTTGAACATCAAAACGGATTTGTAGTTTATAACTGAAAGAAGCTATAGCTGCTGCTATAGCAGAGATTATTTGAGAAAGTAGAGAAAGAAAACAAATGGATTTTTTTGGTTTGTTTTGTTTCTAACTCAGACGAAGGAAGCTAGCCGAGTTCTATGGAGACAATCATTAAAAGAGAAGAAAACTAAAAAAACAGCACTGATAAAAGGGAAGGAAATTTGGGGTTTTGAGTCCATTGGGCTTTTTGAAGTGGGAAAACGAAAACGCAACGAATCGATGCTGGCATACCGAAAAAAAAGAATAACAGCGCTGAAACTTGAATAAAAACGGTAGGTTTTGACCCTCCGACGTAAGTGTGTGCCGGGGCACGCCTTAGCAGTGAGGGGGGTCCGATACACGCCACACACGTACGGGCGCAAGGTGTATGAACGGAATACTTTCTTCTGAATTTCGCTTTACAAAGTGGATATGGAAGTATGCAGAAGGCTTTTTAATAAATAAAAGAACCTATTTATGGTAAATCTGGAACAGTTAATGGTCAGTACCATGGCTTTTCGGAACTTAGGGGAATATATACCGTATTTTTGCTGATTGGTTCACATCAAACCGATATTAACTGAGTACTCGTCTGGAATAATTTTCTAAATCAGAAGCTACCGCGATGCCTTTAATTACAAAAGCCAGTCATTATAAAGAAGAAGGGGTGCAGGAAATCTCGCAAAGTAGGCTGTGAATGGCCAATGAAAGCCAAGGAGATACAAGATACAAACGCCAATGAAGAAACCAGTATAAAACCGCCAGACAGGTGACGAAGTGCAAAACTTAACTCTTTCTGAAGAAGTCAAAAATACTTACATGGTAGAGGGGTCCAGGAGTGGTTCGAGTTTAGTTGTACTTCCGTCAAGCCACGCGAGTTCTTTGCCAGGGGCCTTTTGTATGATCTATTTTAAGGTTTAGAGATTTCAAGTTCTTTTTCCTTTCATACACCAATACATGGACCAACCATTAACACCAAGTTAACGTAATGATTCTCCTCAGTATAAACCTATGAGGTGACAATCATCAGTTCCCAACCCGCGGAAAACACTCTCCTCTGGTTAGTAAAAAGCTTTCTACATGCTTCTTTTACTATTACATGTATATTCTCTTCTTGTTAGAAGTAATAAATTAAAGTAGAATAAATTAAATAAAGCGCTCTTCCGTTCTATAGCAACTTACGGCCAGTGTAATGTGGCGCGCCCGGAACTCTGTCACTGCTAAAGCGCGCCCCGGCACACACTTACGTCAGAGGGTCAAAAACCCTCCCGTGAATAAAAACGATTTACATATACTGTCGTAAGGCGCAAAAATTGCGGCTTCTGAATCACTCGCCCATTTTATGGTCAACTCCCAGGTTTATGGTATACCGGGTACTATGCCTATTCCACACCGCCAACAAGCAGGTCTCTTTACTT